CTACTAAAAATACAAAAATTAGCTGGGCATGGTGGCAGGTGCCTGTAGTCCCAGCTACTCGAGAGGCTCAGGCACGAGAATCGCTTGAACCTGGGAAGTGGAGGTTGCAGTGAGCTGGATACCACCACTACACTCTTGCCTGGGAAACAGAGTGAGACCTTGACTCAAAAAAAAAAAAAGGAAAAAAAAAAAAAAAGCTACATTTCTTCCTCTTGATAACTGAAAGTCTCTGAGCTTCCTTTTCCTCTTCTGAAAGAAAAGGGAAAATGGGCCAGGCGTGGTGGCTTGTGCCTGAAATCTCAGCCCTTGGTGAGGCCAAGGCGAGTGGATCACTTGAGATCAGAAGTTTGAGATCAGCTTGGCCAAAATGGAGAAACCTCATCTCTACTAAAAATACAAACATTACCCGGGGATGGTGGTGCATGCCTGTAATCCCAGCTACTCGGGAGGCTGATGCAGGAGGATTGCTTGAATCTGGGAGGCAGTAAGCTGAGATAGTGCCACTGCATTCCAGCCTGGGTGACAAAAGCAAACCGTCTCAAAACAAAAGAGAAAATAACTCCTTCACAGAAGCACGGGGAAAATGAAATGGAAACCTCCCCTCAATGCCTGCAACATACCAAGCACTCAACAGTTGTAGCTATTATTAATGTCTTCTTCAGTCTCAGATTAGACACCTTTCCTCCTCTCTCCCTTTAAAAAAAAAAAAAAAAATGAGGGTCTATGTTGCCCAGGCTGGTTTGTTTTCAACTCCTGGGCTCAAGCAATCCTCTCTCGGCCTCTTGAGTAGCTAGGACTATAGGTGTGTTACTGTGCCTGGCCTCATTCTTTATTTTTTACAGAGAGGGTTTTACCATGTCGCCCAGGCTGGTCTCAAACTCGAGCTCAGGGGATCCACCTGCTTTAGCTTCCCAAGTGCTGGGATTACAGGCATGAGCCACTGTGCCTGGCTAGCCTGGCACCATTCTTAATATTACAGCTTTGGTTGGGTGTGGTGGCTCATGTCTGTGATCCCAGTACTCTGGGAGGCCAAGGCAGGAGGATCACTTGAACCCAGGTATTTGAGACCAGCATGGACAACATAGTGAGACCTCATCTCTATTTTATAGAATAAAACTTAAAAAAAAAAAAAAATTCTTGCCGGGCGCGGTGGCTCAAGCCTGTAATCCCAGCACTTTGGGAGGCCGAGGCGGGTGGATCACAAGGTCAAGGGATCGAGACCATCCTGGTCAACATGGTGAAACCCCGTCTCTACTAAAAATACAAAAAATTAGCTGGGCATGGTGGCGTGTGCCTGTAATCCCAGCTACTCAGGAGGCTGAGGCAGGAGAATTGCCTGAACCCAGGAGGCGGAGGTTGCGGTGAGCCGAGATCTTGCCATTGCACTCCAGCCTGGGTAACAAGAGCGAAAACTCCGTCTAAAAAAAAAAAAAAAAATTCTTTTAGATCACAGCTTTGGTCTGGTATTACACTTTTTCCTTCTTCCTGCTTTCCTTTTCCCCATTAGAGGAAACAGGATGGAGGAGGGCAGCAGAGGGCAGCCTCCAGCTCTGGGAGGGGGATAATTTTAGAAGAGAATCCTCTGGCAGAGGTAAGCAGAAGGGAGCAGAGCTGTGAAATTCAACCTCATTCCCTTATTCAAGGGCAAGGGGGTTGGGGGGCAGGGAAGACATGGAATCCAGTTCAGAGATACTGCTCTGTAATTCCCAAATATAACCACACCTCTGAAAAGCCTTCCTATCCTGAAAATGGGTACTTAACCTTACTCCCACTATTTCCATAATTTCTTCACCTCTCCTAGATTTTGTATCCCTCCCTTGAGCTATCCCACGGTTTGTTTTTGTTTCTTTTATTTTTTTTTTTGCAGTACAACCAACCAGTTTCAGTCCATTTTTCACGCCCTTTTGCCTCCAGTGTCCTGTACCAAATTCCCCTCTATCTACCAAGCTGCTTCGGCTTACCTCAGTCCCCTTCTGCTCTTCCTAGACATCCATTGCCTGCTCTGTATCACTCAACAATGTTTCCAGCTCCCACAGCTGTTTCCTACCAAACAAAAAAGTTTTGTTTTTGGCTGGGTGTGGCGGCTCATATCTACAATCCTAGCACCTTGGGAGGCCGAAGCAGGCTGATCATTTGAAGCCAGGAGTTAGAGACTAGCCTGGCTGACACGGTGGAACCCGATTTTTACATTAAAAAAAAAAAATTGCGCCGGGCGCGGTGGCTCAAGCCTGTAATCCCAGCACTTTGGGAGACCGAGGTGGGTGGATCACGAGGTCAAGAGATCGAGGCCATCCTGGTCAACATGGTGAAACCCCATCTCTACTAAAAATACAAAGAAGTAGCTGGGCATGGTGGCATGTGCCTGTAATCCGAGCTACTCAGGAGGCTGAGGCAGGAGAATTGCCTGAACCCAGGAGGCGGAGGTTGTGGTGAGCCGAGATCGTGCCATTGCACTCCAGCCTGGGTAACAAGAGCAAAACTCCGTCTTAAAAAAAAAAAAAAAAAAAGCTTCCTACCAAAACTTCTGTAGAAGTTCCTACAGAACTTCCCGTCTCTTGTCAAACTTCCATAGCCCATCAGCATTTGCACTTATCTCTCAGGCATATCCTTTAGATACAATGCACTCCTAAAGTATCCCAACTTACAAAATCCATTGCTTTGACCTCTTCCATGCTGCACCCACTTATAATCTGTACCCACTCCAGAAGAGCTTAAATGCAACCAGGGAGAAAATGGAATTCTACTATCTTCATTCTCCTATCCTCCCATTCCAGCCCAATCTGTTATGGCAGCCTACATCTCACAGTCTAAATAACCAAGAACCAGCACTGTTTGCTAATGACCAGCATTTCATTTGACTGTGAGAAATCCCAGGACTATGCCAACTGAGATGGGCCCACAGCTGCATATATTTACAGGATCATGAAGCAAAGTAAGATGGGCTTTTCAGGTCTGGCTATGCCTTGTGAGGTGGTGAGAAATGCTGCAGTGTTAAGGGGCTAAGGAAGCAAAATCTGTGGGCTTCAGAGACCTGAGTATTTACAGAAACAGAGGTATTGAGCACACATCAGTAATAAATATGAGCATTTATTTGGCACCTGATGGCAATACAAAATCCTGGCAGTGGGAGTGGAAAAGTTACTCACTCAAATACTTCCATACTATGTTGACCCAAAGGCAGGACTTGGCAGCAAGGCTTCAAACCACCCAGCTCACAGAACAAATATTTATTGAGCACCTTGACTACTACAGGCCTAGCATTTTGCTAGGGACCATGGGAGATGTGAAGGGAGTTATCACACATAGTATGTCTCCAAGGAGCTAAAAATGCCAGTGGATAAAAGCAAAACACATCGAAAAAAGTACAAAAATAATAAACCATGTATACTGTCAAAAGGAAAATTTTATCAAAAGGTAGGGTTGTAGCTAAGGTTGACTTGCCTTCTTTGTTCTTTTATTCAACAAACATTTACTGAAGACCCACTATGTGTCAAGCACTCAGTACATGACGGTGAATAAAACAAGCAAGGTTTCTGCCCGCATTTACAGCCTGGGAGGGGAGACAGAAATGAACAAGTAAAACTAGCATACATATACACTGCAATAAATGCAATGAGGGGAAAAGACAAGACGTGGTGACAGCCGCAGGAGACTGTTCAAGGACAGAAGGGCCTGGGAGTGGGTCAAGACTTGAGGAATAAGGATACCACCTGAGTCAGGAGTGGTGGGGGTGGAGAGCTGAGAAGGCCCAGGAAGAGGGCAGGAAAGAGCGCACAATTAGAAACTGAGAGGAGACCACTGGGGCTGGAGCTTGACGAGAAATCATCATTTAATGAGGTTCAAGGGGAAGGCAAGAACTAGTTCTCACAAACCAAGTGAACTGTTTAAATTTTAAATGAGATGTAATAGAAAGCAGAAGGGTTCTAAGCTGGGCGGGCAGGGGCAGGGGAGGTGATGGTGACATGATCAGATTTGTATTTAAACAACCAAAACCTGGCCAGGTGCAGTGGCTCATGCCTGTAGTCCCAGCTATTTGGGAGGCTGAGGTGGGAGGATGGCTGAGGCCAGGAGTTCGAGACCAGTCTGAGAAACATAGCGAGACCTCGCCCTAAAAAACAAAAAACACCAAACAACCAGATAAAATAAAAAAAAACAAAACTACTCTGTCATGTGGAGAATAGACTGGAGGAAGTAAGAGTGGAAGTTTTTTGTTTTTTGTTTTTTAAAGGCCTTAACAGGAAAGTTTTAGATAAGGAGGGCTAAAAGTTTCTAGGTTGAAAAAAATAGTATGTATGGCACTGAAATAAAGACCACATTGTATCAAACGAGAGTTTAATACTGAAGCAGAAAGCAGAAACAAGGAACTACATGACATCTTTGAGCAGCTACATGATCCAGTAAAGCAGTATTTGAGAGATTTGGTGGCAGCAGTCAACAGGATGACATGAAGGTAAAGAGGGGAGAGGTATGAAGCAGGGAGACAGCTAGGAAGCTTTTCTAGAAATCTAGATACGAAGTGCAGGTTGACTGAATGAAGTGGGAATAGTAAGGGAGAGAGATGGACATTTCACAGGAAAGAAAAAGCTACAGAGAGAGCTTACAGAGTCTGGGGAAATACACCACTCCTCCCGGCCTTCTCTGATGCTCCCCACGAGGCTCATTTCAGTAACAAAGCTCAGAGAAACAATCAGTGAAAGATCTTTGAGACTTCCACAGGCAAACATCAATAAGGTACAGACGCAAGGAGACATCTGCTGACAGGCTGTGGTGCCTTGAGCCCAAACGAGCCAAGAGCGTCGTTCCACTGGGTGGCCCTGCAGTAGTGAAGGGAACGCACAGGCCACTTCTGCACACTGCAGCAAGGTGTGTCTCTAGTCATGTTTGCTTCTTCAGAGTCAAACGGTAATGTCTACATTAAATTTGGACAGCTTCCAAACTCTCTCTAGGTCAAAAACGGCTGGGGATATGAATGAAAGAAAAGATGACATCTGAGACATCTTAACTAATGAAATAAAAGCAATGACTAAAGTGCCATCTACAAAAGCTAGCACTGAACCCAAATATGGGGAAGCTTACATGCCCTCTCCCCCTAACCACACTGTGTTTATTACTTCACTTGTCAGGATCTTCACCTGCAGCTGAAACGTTCCTGGCAATAGGTCCAACCACAGCTGGCACTACAGGCAGAGGGCTTCACAGAAGAGGAGCTGGCCTGGAGTCCCACACTCAAAGGCAGAGATGATGGGCACAGGAAACAAGTCTGGGAGATTCCCACATCCCTGAGGGGGAAAAACAGAAACCGTGCATCCTGAAGATCAAAGGCTCTATCACACCTCCTGTGGTCCAGTGGCTTCCACTTGGCGTGGATGATGGGGAGGCGGCATCATGTGGGAGGGTGTCCTGGGAACAGGTAGAGGTGACGGCACAGAGTGCTGCAGTACTCAGACATCTCCTTGCACCTGTGGAACTCTGTGCCAGGGGCGTAGCCTTCCCGATCCTTGATAAGTGCATTCACCTGGAGAGGCAGAACCAATAGGCCCAAGTCTGAGAATCTCGGGCTTCATGAGAGCAGTATAATGGGAAGGGGAGACGGACTATGAAAGGGCATTCAAGGGCAGAGGAGAGCAGAGCACTGTGGAGACGCACGGGGGTCACGGAGCCCACAGACTCACCTTAACCAGCATGTCAGCCACGTGCATATCACAAGCCCGCTCAGAAAACACCTGAGCGAGGGCCTCGATGTACCAGGAACCTCGTTTGGTGTTCCGCATGGCAGCGGTCCCTGCAACCAAAAGAACATTAATCAGAGTGTGAGTGCCCTCACACAGCTGGACTTCCCAAACTTGACTCAACCATGGCACCTGCACCCTCCCCAGTCAAAGAGCCCAGCATGAAGAATCCAAATTTAGGAGGGTACATGCTTTTGGATTACTGGCATACTTTGGAGATACTATAGGTTTGTCTCCAGACCAGCTCCAGGAAGTGAATATGGCAATAAAGCAAGTCATACAAATTTTCAGGTCTTCCGGTGTGTATGAAAGTTACGGTTACTATCCTACAGTCTATTAAGTGTACAACAGCATTATGTCTTAAAAAAATGCATATGCTTTAATTAAAACACACTTTATTGCTGAAAAATGCTAACAGAGGCGTGCCAACAGAAAAATGGTGCTGACAGACACTCGATGAAGGATTGCCACAAACCTTCAATTTGAAAAAAAACGGCTGAGCATCCCAAATCCAAAAATCTGAAATGCTTCAAAATCTGAAACTTTCCAAGCGCCAACATGATGCTCAAAGGAAGTGCTCATTGGAGCATTTTAAATTTAGAATACTTGGATACGGGATACTCGACTGGTAAGTATAATGCAAAAATTCCAAACTCAAAAAAACCAAAAAAATCCACAATCTGAAACACTTCTGTTCCCAACACTTCAAATAAGGGATACTCAACCCATATCTGCAAAGCACCACAAAGCAAAGTGCAATAAAATGAGGTATGACTCAATTCTCTTGGAACTCAAAGTACCTTTGAGGCAGGCATAGCCGCATATCATGTCTGAACGCGTGGGCAGTCTCATCTTCAGCAACTCCTCTTTACCAGCATCACTCTCCTCGCACCCAGGGGATCCTGCATGGCTCTTTCCATCTTGTTGGTCAACCCCACGATCAGTCTCATCTGTAACAAAGGCAGACAGAATGGACAATGATGTTACTTCTTCCCATCTCTCCTGGGCCTGTCACAGGCAAGCCCACGTTCCCTACAACCTTGATGGGGAAGAGCCATTTCCAGCTGTTGCGTCCAACCTATGGTTGATAAACTTAAAAAAAAAAAATTCATTACTCTCCCAGCATGCATCTGTTACTCAGGGAATGCCTCGCACAGGCCGGGTATCACGCTCAAGCACATGCACGTCTATGTGGCTGGAGCAGTTTCCATTCTGTGTAAGACAGGGAAAATGCCCAATCAAACACTCCTTGTAAATGGAACTGAAAACCATCTAAGTCCACAATTCACTTGTTCAATTAACAATATGCCTGGGAGTCATAGTGCTTTTTATTGCAGTACATAATAAAATATTGATGCATTTAATTTTATTACATAAACAAAAAAGGTAATAAATAACAAATACGGTTACTAAATGTATGCTATATAAAAATCACAATCTCAAACAAGGTATCAAAAAAATATGATCAGTTGTTTCCAAAGTGGGTTTTGGTATCTTTGAAGCACTCAGTACTTGTTTATTAATTTCATAAGATAAATTAGAGCAAGCATCCAAAATTTAAGAAAAAAACTTTTTTTTTTTTTTTTTTGAGACAAAGTCTTGCTCTGTTGCCAGGCTGGAGTGCAATGAAATGATCTCGGCTCACTGCAGCCTCCACCTCCTGAGTTCAAGTAATTCTCCTGCCTCAGCCTCCTAAGTAGCTGGGACTACAGAGGTGCACCACCACACCTAGATAATTTTTGTCTTTTTAGTAGAGACGGGGTTTTACCATGTTGACCAAAATGGTCTCTATCTCTTGAACTTGTGATCCACCCGCCTCAGTCTCCCAAAGTGCTGGGATGCCCAGCCAAGAAAAAACTTTTTTAATCTTTTTTTTTTTCCTTCAATAGAGATGGGGTCCCGCTACATTGACCAGGCTGGTCTCGAATGCCCAGCCTCAAGTGATCCTTCTGCCTTGGCCTCCCAAATTGTTGGGATTATAGGCATGAGCCATTGTGCTTGGCCTTAAGAAAATTTTAAAAGAGAAAAAACTTAAAATGGGGAGAATTAGACTATTTTCTCCCAGAAAATTGAAAAAGATCATCCTTATTCAATTTTAGTAGTAGTTTCTCAACATAACCTGAGCAGATGCCCATGTTCTTGATAAAGGCCTTATCTATCACAAGACAGATTCTTATTTTTGATGATGACATTTTGTTTTGGGTGTGGGCAGGGGTGCTGTCAGGAGGAAAGAGAGGTAGGGAGGACTTTCAAGTCAACACATCAAAAGTAAGAGTATGCTGTTTTATAGTACTCCCTGCTCCATGCAACAAGGGAGCCTAAGAAGGAAGGGAAGCTTCAAGAATTGGGGGGAAAAGGACCAAAACGCAGATTTAATAAAACTGTGTCAAGCAACTGCCAGGTGTTGGGCACTATTTTACTTTAATCCTTGGGGACAGAGTGAAGAGAAAATTCCTGCCATCATAGAGCTTACACTCCAGCTTAGAAGCCAACTGGGGCAGGGGTTGGAACTTTTTCTAGATATTAATTATATTAACCAAATACAGCAGGAACACAGGAGAACTCAAGTTTTCTAAGAACAGTTGGCTACTGGTCATTCCTTGAGGGATTTAATTTCAGAGAAGTTGGAGAGACAGCAAAAGATTCAGATTACTCCAGAAAAGAGCAATTACTCCTTATCCAGATCCAACAGTGTATTAAATCCCTGGATATAGGAGGAGAAAATGACCACAACTGTCCTTGTTTTGTTAGTAATGACACCAAGTAATAGGCCAAGTTAAAGAGAAAGGAGAATTCCTCTCTCACCTTTATATCACAGATCCATCAATCAATTAATGCCATTAGTTCTTTTTTCACAATATCCACGTATTTGTTTTTTTACATAATATCTACAGTTTTTTAAGCAGATTAATTTTCATCCATTCATTCAACATTTCTAAGTGCTACCATGTGTCAGGCAGTGCTCTAGGCCTGGGGACAGAGCAGGGAATGAGAAGTTCAGTTCCTGCCCCATAACCTCTTTTCTCAGTGCAGCCCCTCCATGGCAACGTTACTGGAAAAAAATTCACCCCATTATTTCCTACTTATACTCCCAACTGTTCCATACTTTTACCTGCTGAAGTCCAAAATTTCAGTTACGACTAAAGGTTTGTAATGAGGTAAACCTACTTCATGTGACCAGCCACATCTCACACACTCACACAGATGCTGTTTTAAAATCAGATCCAAGCACTTGTTTAGGAAGAGAGACACAGCATGCCCTTTTAATTTTAGTGTGCTTATCATGTTGTATTGTTTCTTTTCCCATGATAGACTCTAGATATTACTCTACAATCATGTAAATCAAATTACTCTGGGTGCAAATTAAGCCTTATCCTATCCACAAAATCTCTTTAAACTACCCTTTCTTAAAATGATCTAGTCTTACTGCATACTCCTTCCTAAGCAGTTTGTACTTTGCTAATTTCACCCTTGCTTACATGAGGCCTGTGAATTAGTATTAAGCTATTTCATGTGTATTTACTTTATTTTCCTGAGTAACTGGTCTGCTCCTTAGAGAGGCATTTCCTTTTGCTTTTGTGGTAGTAACTACTGTAGTCTGAATCACATTGTAGGACCTCAGTAGACTATATCTGTGGTAATATTAGATCAGGCTGACAATAATATTAGCTATTTACATTTGGCCATGCAATAGATCAAAACAGTAATTATATGAATGTTTGGGAAAAGTGACCTTTAAACCAAACTATAAGCCCTTCACGGCACTGATTGTGTTATAAGAGTTATAGCTGTCATGTTTTGTGGGTGTGCTGTGAGCCAGGTACTGTGCTAAGTAAGCTCTTAAATGCATAATCATCACAACCACCTTATGAAGTAGGTACAAGGACTCTCTTCATTTTATATGAAGGAAACTGAGATGGAGGGATGCCATTTAACTTCATCTTTACGTAACTAGTAAATGGTGAAGTCAGAATTTGACTCCAAAGTTAGAGCTACTAAATGCTATTGTTTTCCTCTAGGACGAAAGGCATGCCTTTATGTCTTCTACTCCTCATCCTGTGGTCCTGGGTCTTAAAGGAGTAAAACGGACTGCATGAGAGAAAGACGGGCACCAGCAGCTCATGGAAAAGAGTCAAAGGCCAACATGGATTCTGTTCTGCAATCCTGCATGGCCCACGAATGACAAGAAGAAAGGAGGGAAGAGTGGAAATGCAGGGAAGCAGGGAAGTACATGGAACAAGTGAAAAGGAGAAAGAGTGAAAGGAGATAAAATAAGGAGGACAGGAAAAAGACAGATCAAAAATCCACAACCGAATGAGTAACCAAAAAAAGGGCACCAGAGTTAATAAAGCACAGAAAAGAGTAAGAATCCTCAGAAAAGAAGGCAAGGACACGGAGAAGAGAGTCCTGAGAACAGGGTATGGTGGTGCACAGAGAGCTGACCAGCCTGAGAGTCATGGGCTGCCCAAGTCCCAGCACACCCCATGCATCGGGAGACACTTACAGAGCAAGAGAGGCGGTGGCAGCAGTGAACAGAAGGAGGTGCCCAAGGGATCCAATAGCACCTGAGAGGAGCAAACAGGAAAGTGAGAGCTGGTGGGAGGCTGCCCAGGAGCCACCACCCAGGTGCTGGTCTGCCAGGGCACTCACCTCCACGGCAGGCCTGGATGAAGAACATTTTCGGTTTGTTCTGTAGGCTTGGGCAGTTGGCGTTGTCAAAGAGCCGAAAAACTTCTTGTAGCTGCCAGAAAGAAACAAGGAAGAAGAGAGGTTAAGCAGTTGGTGCAGCCTCCTGAGGTCCTATACATGCAACAGTAGCCATCACTAGACAGACATCAGGCCGCAGGTGAAGCAGCCTGGTTTCAGCAGCTGCCCCCCTCACCACGACCATATCCACACCTGGAGCAGTTTCCCATCCACACCATAGATGGCGCCCTCCACACCATGCGAGAGGAGTGCTACGATGCAGGAGTCCGTGACTCGGTGTGTAGGTAACTGTGCAAATTTCTGGAGTTTCTCTTGCATTTCCTAGAAAAAAGGAGTGTTTAGTGTTGTGCCCTAGAGTCAGCACCAATATAAGCATCAATCTTTGGTTTCTTTCTGAAACCCTAAGATATTAGAAGACAAAATGCTTTCCGTATATTCTTGCAGTCAGTGATAGAAGAAGAGACCTTTTGAGAGACTTACTCTCTCTCTCAAGTAAAAAGAAAGCTATGGACTAACAAGAAAAATGCATATGAGCTGAGACACAACATTCTGCATACAGATTCAGACTCACTGAGATAGAGAACTCCTGGATTAAAGCAAGTTACTAAAGAAGCTAATCATGAGCTGATCAACTCTGATTAATTCCCTGTTCATAACCAGATTCTTCATTACAGCAAGTGCCCTTATACATAAATGGCACAAGGGTGACTATAAGTGTAGCTATGAATAAGTAACATGCACATTCAGCTACAAGAAAATAAACTGTTCTATGAGAAGAAATACTTGTGTGTTGTCTTCTAAGATTTTAAGTATCGGAGAGATAGTGATGATACCTGTATAAAATGCCTTGTTTCAGAAAGAGCATGCTATGAAGGAGGATCTGTACAGGCCAGTGATTACATATGCAGGCCCTGGGGTCTGATTAATCTAGGTTTGAACCTTGGGTTCATAAGTTGGAACAACTTACTCAAGACTGTTGAGACTCCAATTTCCACTTTATAAAAGAAAATTTGAGTACATTTTCTTTAAGTTTGTGAAGATTAAAAGAGATATTATAGACAAAGGACTTAGTCTGGGCAGCCTAGCAAGACTCCGTCTTTAAAAAAAAAAAAAAATTAGCCAGGCATGGTGGTGCATGCCTATAGTCCCAGCTACTTTAAAGGCTGAGGTGGAGGTATCACTTGAGCCTAGGAGACCGAGGCTGCAATGAGCCATGATTGCACCACTGCACTGTAGCCTGGGTGACAGAGACCCTGTCTCCAAAAAAAAAAAAAGACTGATCACTGTATTTGGGACACACTGCAAAAATCTGCCATTATTATAATGTGCACATCTAATAAAGAGTATTTTTTTCTAAGAAGTCTACTACTGGTCAATGGTGTAGTCCAATTTAAGAACTGTGTTCTTGTTTATCTTTTTTTAAAAAAAACCAGGATCTCACCATCTTGCCTAGGCTTGAGTGCAGTGGCTATTCACAGGTGCAAGATGATTACTGATCAGCACAGGAGTTTTCACTTGCTCCACTTCTGACCTGGGCTGGTACACCCCTCCTTAGGCAACCTGGTGGTCCCCCACTCCCAAGACGTCACCATATTGATGATGAATTTAGTTTGGACACCTGATCAGCCTAGAACTCCCACACTCAAGGAATCCTCTTCTTCAGCTTCTAGAGTAGCTCGGACTATAGGCATGTACCACCATGCCCGGAGAATCTTGTTTATCTCACACTAAGTTATGATACACAAAGACCACTACTTTGAGCACTTGGTCCATGCATCAGAAAGTTATACTGTGTACCTAAACAGCATAATAATTGGACACACATTTTTAAACCTATGCCTCCCTCTATAATTCACAATGTCAGGATCTTCTATCTGAGATGAGCAGAGAGAAAACAAGTTCATTTTATTATAAACTTGAATAAAATGCAACAAAGACAAATAAGTTATCTAGGTGGAAGAGTTAAAACTGCACATATTTAATCACACACACTGCCAAAATAAAAAGCACACTTTTATAATATAACATATTGCAATGGCTCTCAAAGTGTGGCCCCTAAAGCAGTAATAGCACCACCACCCAGGAACTTGTAAGAAATATGAAATCTTGGGCCCCAGCAAAATATGTTTTAACAAGTTTTCCAGGAGACTCTGATATGAAAAATTTTGAGAACTACTAATTTATTTGTTCAGAATACTTCTGTTTGTAGATAATTGAGATGCAGTTAAATAAAATATTTGAAAGTCTGAACTATAACTAGAAATAGACAGATTGGTTTTGTTGAAAAGTATGTGTATTTTCTGAGTAAGCAGAATCCAACCATAATAATAGAAATCTTAAGGTAATGACAGATAATCAAAACACTGTTTCAAGAATAAATAATTTCAAGAGAATACATAACTGTGAATGCTCCTCTGGAGCTGACCCTAATAGAATTTAATATTTAATAGTTAAAGAAGTTAATTTTTCTCAAAGAAGGAAACAAAAATTATATACCTGGGCACTGAATCACCAGCATTTTGAATTTAGTGAGATTAGGTCAGTAAACAGAAAACAAAGCCCAAAAAAAGAATACATGCACTTTGTCATTCAAATTAGTAAGACTAAACCATTCAATAAATGGGGATTAGACATTTGGAGGAACTTTTCCACAAGTAGCATAGCTGAAAATAGGATCTACAGATTTGTTTTTGATAAAATTACAGTACTCCTATAAATAGCAAGGTTCTTAACTCTTAAGTGTATTTTGGCTAGGGGCTGGGGGAACGTGTGAAGTATATAACTTGTGAACCCTCTGAAATTATATGCTAAATTATATGGGCAGCTGCATTTTCCAGGGATGACCCACAGCTTGTCCCTGCATTTTCAAAGCAGTTTGTGACCCAAATGCAAGCCAAAAAAACAATACCACACGGTAAAAGGAAATTTCCACTTTGAAAAGTATCTCGTTTACTAACATATGGTAAAGCATAATTCTAGAACTAGTAACTTCATCATGAAGCAGATGCAATGAAAATTTGATAACAAAGAGAAAAGTGAAAACATTTGGGGAGTGAGAATACCCATGTTCTCTGCAGCACTATTAGGGGAAGAGGATTCTCTAAGATTAATTACATTATTTCCTGTTTTTAAATGGAATTTTCCTCTCAAGTAAAAAAGATTTGATGTGGGAAAAAAAGAGGATCTTAAGTTTTTTGGTTCTGCCTCTGTTTGCCAAATAGCTATATGATAAAGGAGTTGAGTCTCTAGGGAGATCCCACCAGGAAGAGAGTATTCTGTGTACCCAATTAGGACACCCACTGCAACTACCTGGTTTATAACATATACATTTCTTGTCCATATACTGTTCTCCCTGCCTAGGGTGGCCTCAACACTCCTCTCTGCTTTAGTAACTTCCTCTATCTTTCAAGGCAGATTTAAGTCCTGCCTCCTCCATTTATCCTTTTGATCATAATATATACCTAGGTGTTTCTTCTTCTTAGCTATGTCAGAAGACATTTTCTCTAATCTTGCTTGATCCTTAGGAATACAAGAGGACCCCCTTCCTTTTCTCCTGATGTCAAAACTCCCTCATCTGATCTTTACAAAAATCTGTGGGAGCTCACATAGTCCCCCATCATAGGTACTCAAAGTTTAACTCTACTGCAATTTCAGTTATACAGAAATATAACCAAAGATTTAGAATCCAACAGATCACTGAACATACATCAGGCTTAGAATAAATAAGTATGATATTTATGAAGTGAACTCATAAACTCACCAAATCTACTGAAGGTCTCTTAAAAAAACAGCAGTATATAGCTGACTTAGTGACTCAGTATTGTGTCTTTTAACTATTAGACGTGTAAGATCCTTTATCAGCCTGCATACAACTTGGAAAACCATGACATAATAGATTTCCAGTAAAAGAAATGGCTAGACCAAAACCTCTAAGAAAATACATTTAGTGCACAATTTTTTAAGTGACCTTCTGTAGGCATTATGACTGATACCTCGCCCTTTGTCCTTTTATGCCCGGCAGACTTCTCAGGAAAGCATATGAACGACTTGAATACTTGATGATTGAAGCAGCTGTTCCTGCTGTGTCTTTGAAGCAAGGGTGGATCTAACTACATTGCATGTGCTACAGTGGGGAAGTTGGCAAAAATACCATGTAAAGGACAACACCCATGTACCTGCGGATGAAACCGGTCTTGCCAAAAATAAAGTCAATACATAATTATTCTCACAGAAAGAGAAAGGCTAAGAGAAATGAAGCCTACAGACACTGCTGAATGGAAAACAAAGATCCTCTATCTCAACAGATCAAACTGAATCTCCTAGAAATTTTAATTTCACCATTGACAACCTCAAATCAAATTTAAGAAAGTTCTATTATTCTGGAATCAAAATAAAGAGTGAATATGAACTACAAACAGGCCACTATTGATTGCAAAACAGAAACCCTAAAGGTCACAAAGTCAGTTGTGCAGTACAGGAACTGAGGTTAATGAGGAACAGCCCATAATGAAAATGCTTACAATTTCTAGAAATCTGATCCAAAAACAATCCACCCTATGATATCACTTGTGGCTATACGACTGCTATGAATACTTTCCCAGCTGGGCACGGTAGCTCACACCTGTAATCCCAGCACTTTGGGAGGCCAAGGTTGGTGAATCACCTGGGGTCAGGAATTCGAGACCAGCCTGGCCAATGTGGCGAAACGCCGTCTCTACTAAAAATACAAAAATTAGCCGGGCATGGTGGTGTGCCCTTGTAGTCCCAGCTACTCAGGAGACTGAGGCAGGAAACTTGCTTGAACCCGGGAGGCAGAGGTTGCAGTGAGCAGAAATCACACCACTGTACTCCAGCATGGGTGAAAGAGCTAGACCCCATCCCCTCCCCTGCTCCCCCCAAAAAATACTTTCCCCATTCCCTTTTTCATTCACAGGAATTTTATCTGCCAAAGTAATCTTTTAAATAATAAACAAGGCCAGGGGCGGTGGCTCAAGCCTGTAATCCCAGCACTTTGGGAGGCCGAGGCGGGTGGATCACGAGGTCAAGAGATCGAGACCATCCTGGTTAACAAGGTGAAACCCCGTCTCTACTAAACATACAAAAAGTTAGCTGGGCATGGTGGTGTGTGCCTGTAATCCCAGCTACTCAGGAGGCTGAGGCAGGAGAATTGCCTGAACTCAGGAGGCGGAGGTTGCGGTGAGCCGGGATCGCGCCATTGCACTCCAGCCTGGGTAACAAGAGCAAAATTCCGTCTCAAAAAAAAAATAAATAAATAAAATAAATAAATAATAAACAAATGGCTAAGTAGCAATATCAACTAACAAGTAAATATCCTGTGTAGCCCTGGCTTATAAACATCTGTACTAAATTGATGATGGTGAATCTCAGTGTCCCATCACTTCCAGAGTGATTGGGAATCAAGCTTCTGAACATGTAAAAGTGAGAACCCAACCCTAGACTATTATTACTCTATGAAAGCACAACCTGAAATGTCAACACTGTAACAGTTGGCTGGCCCTGGTTCTTTCTTATTAGATTGCAAGGTGAGAGGCAGAACAGAGTGAGTAAAAATCTAAGTAGAGTAAACAACTTTTAAGACATATCCCAGCAGGCACAAAAACAAAAGATATCTCTGGTCCCAAAGTGCTGTTCAGTCCTCTAATTTACATGTCAATTTTTCCTGCCTCAGGTACCTGTGCAGTCTGGTCATGTAGATCATGGACATCATAGCCCAAAAGCTTGAAGAGGGTGACTAGCGTACTGTGGTCCACCTCCCCTCCAGAGCGAAATTCCAGGTCCTTCTCTCCAGTGAAGTGTACATTGCTCAACACCAGTGCCAGGCCACGAGGCCGAGACTGCAACCTATAGGCCTAGGGAAGAGGGGCCTAGTTAGACCACGAGCGTCTTGATGATAGATGATTCCCTTGCTAAATTAGTCATTTCAAGAAAACAAAAATACCACATTCTTCTTCTTCACCCCAGCAGGTAAAAATAGACAAATGCTCACAGAAGGCATTTAATCAGCAACAATTTTCTGACTAACAAGGCAGAAAAGAAAGGTATATGCAAACTAAGTTCAGGTGCCTGGGAAGGGTGTCTCATTTCCCAACTCTTTTCCTCTTGTCACTATGTAAAACTCACCAGCTGGAAGTGTGTTTGATAAAATTCAGGAGTGCAAGACTTCACCTGAAGGCAGGCAGGACCATCTTTATTGTCTAGGGAATGTTCCACAGTATCTGTGGTATAGACAGAAAATGAACAAACTAGTATATAACTTAAGCATCAATCTTAATATATCATTATAACTTCAGACATCTCTTGGAACTGGGTTTTGATAAATACTGATCTCACCCCAAACCTGTAAGCTCCATGAGGGCACGAGGGCAGAGACTCTTAGTTTTAGCTTACTAATGGAATCTCTGCACATAGTCTGCAAGTGGCAGATGCTCAACTGGCTAAATGACTGAATGGGCTACCTGATGAAAGCCTGGTTCAAATCACTAGGCTGCTCCATCAGTAGGCTGGTGGCCCCAAATGTAGTCTTTTCTCATTCAGCTTTATAAAGGCCTATTGAGCATGAACCTCCTGCCCATACATGCTGCTCAAAGGGTCAATTATAAAAACTGTCATCTGTGACAGAAGAGAAATAGAACCAACTATTAATAATACCCAGTCTAGGCCAGGTGCAGTAGCTCAAGCCTGCTAATTTAGGAGTCCAAGGTGGGCGGATCACAAGGTCAGGAGTTGGAGACCAGCCAGGCCAACATGGTGAAACCCTGTCTCTACTAAAAACACAAAAAATTAGCCGGATGTGGTGGTGCATGCCTGTAATCCCAGCTACTTGGGAGGCTGAGGCAGGAGAATCGCTTGAACCCAGGAGGCGGAGGTTGCAGTGAGCTGAGATCATGCCACTGCATTCCAGCCTGGGCAACAGAGCAAGTCTCTGTCTCAAGAAAAAAAAAAAAATATCCTGTCTAACTGTCCTACTAGCCTTTAACAAATTCACTGAAAACTATTCCCAATATAAAATATGCCTCAGCTGGGTGTAGTGGCTCATGCCTATAATCCAAGCACTCTGGGAGGCCAAGGCGAGAGGATCACTTGAGGCCAGGAGTTTGACACCAGCTTGGGCAACAAAGTGAGACTTGTTCTCTGCAAAAAATTAAAAAATTATCTGGGTGTGGTGCCATCCACCTGCAGTCCCTGGTACTTGGGAGGCTGAGGCAGGAGGAGCCCTTCAAGGTTGCAGTGAGCTATGATGGTGCCACTCCATTCCAGCCTTCCAGCCGGGTGACAAAGCAAGACCCTATTTCTTTAAAAAAAAAAAAAAAAGGCTCATGTTAGGACAAAGCCAGATACCAGACAAGAAAGTGGAAGTCAATCTGGGACTCCTTTTATTCCATCAATTCTCACCTGTCGACAGGTGGTGCTTCTTGTGAGGGGGACAGGACTCACATGTCGGGAAAGGGAGACTCAAGTCGTAGTCACAGCTCAACTGTAAGAAATCAAAACTCATAACCTTAGGGAGGTGGTCCGGTCCAAATCCAACAAAATCTAGTCTCTCCCACCCTGACTTTCAAAGTCGTTTCCAGTCAAACTAACCCTTCCCAACACCGCAGATTTCTAGGGCTCCATACCGGTGGGAGTACATGCTGAAGCCCAGATAGGGTGGTGAGCAACATATCCTCCAGGTGGCCTTGCTTGGTCTCCCTCAGTGCTTCACAGAAGGCATCAAAAGCTTGGGGACCCCTCTTAGGCAGCAAGTTGAGGAGTTCCACATTCTGGCTGAAACTGCCCACTTTGGCCTAAGACACAAAAATAAAACATGAAATCCTATTTACTTCTTTAGCTATCATTCTATTTCTCCACTTGAGCTTCCTGGTAGTGTCCTCATCCATCTCAAGAATTCTTTTTATAGGAATAGTATGCTTGGGTGAAGTCCTTCCTATTATTCTTGAATTACATATCATTTCTGTCAAATGTTCTATGGTAGAAGGGTATTTCCATTTTCTTAGAAAGGTATGATACCCTTTCCATATTTTTTCATGCCATTCCCACCTCTATGATCTATTTATCTTCTCTCTTTTGCCTCCAGATACCTGAATGAGCTCCCTCATTTCCAAGGTGATGATGTCCTTCTCCAGAAGATGTTCTAACAGTTCACTCAGCAACAGCTGTTTGGCTAGCACCACTCGATTCTTTTTTAGAGTTTCCTGATGGTCAGGATGCATGCCATACACTCCCAATACCCTACAGATGAACGGGAGAAGGAAAGGCTATCAAGCACAAGATTTGGCACCGAAGAGTGGAGTGGAAGAGGCATGAGTAGAAAGAACAAAAAGAATAAGACTTATAATAACCAAGATTATGCATATTTATTAAATGGTTAAATCAAAGATGTACTAAGCACACTGATCATAAAAAAAAATCTCTAATTCTCTATGGTTTATGGTCAGCTGACATCATCCGAGATGAATGGTCTGACTATGCGAGGGAAATATCTATCTTAAGCAAAATAACATCCCCAAGCACAATATTCATGAGAAGGAATACTTATCTGATAGACCAATTTCAATTGAGAGAATTATTTCAGAAAACAACTCACATTATTTATCTAAGCTGCTGAAAGTGATTTAAGTTTATAATGATCTTGGATGAGTACTAAAATAATGCTATGGCAAAAACTCAAGCCAATGGCCTTAACAGAAAATAAATGAGACAGATACTCTCTTTCACTAGTGATATAAACATATAATTACATGTTTTTTAAAACTTTAAGTTCCAGTGACAAAATGGCACTAGAAATGATCAGAATCCTGTTAAGATGTGGATAAGCAGAAAGTATGACACAAAGTCACAGTGATAGGTACTTATTATTTACTTTAAAAGAGACAGGGTCTCACTATGAAACCCAGGTTGGAATGCAGTGGCTATTCACAGGTATGATACCATTACAGATCGGCACGGGAGCGGGAGTTTTTTTTTTTTTTTTTTTTTTTGTATTTTTAGTAGAGACGGGGTTTCATCATGTTGACTAGGATGGTCTCGATCTCTTGACCTCGTGATCCACCCGCCTCCGCCTCCCAAAGTGCTGGGATTACAGGCTTGAGCCACCGTGCCTGGCAGCACGGGAGTTTTCACGAGCTCTGTTTTTGACCTGGGCTGGTTCACCCTTCCTTAGGCAACCTGGCGGACCCTGGCTCCAGGACATCACTATCACATTGATGATGAACTTAGTGTGGACACTCAACTGGCATAGCACACTATACTATAGCCTGAAACTCCTGGACTCAAGCGATCCTCCTGCCTCAGCCTCTCAAGTAGCTGGAACTACAGGCATATGCTGTCACCTCCAGCTAATTTTGCTATGGGCTTGCAAAGAGATCAGCTTCTGCTTATAAACTAAAATAATCCTATTGCCAATATATGTCATCTATATGCCTAATTTACATAAATCCGGAGTTCTCTAGCCTGCGCAATCAGTTTCCAAATATGTAACAACTGTAAGGGTACCACGTGATAGCAGTGAAGATATGATAACTTCAGTTTATAACTTAAAAACTCTAAAATGCATCCTGATTTCTAAGGTGTTAAAAAATGAGGGGAGGCCGGGAACGATGGCTCAGGCCTGTAATCCCAGCACTCTGGGAGACCGAGATGGGCAGATCATCTGAGGTCAGGAGTTTGAGATCAGCCTGGCCAACATGGTGAAACCCTGCCTCTACTAAAACGACAAAAAAAATTATCCGAGTCTGGTGGTGCATGCCTGTAGTCCCAGCTACTTGGGAGGCTGAGTCAGGAGAACTGCTTGAACCCGCGAGGCAGAGGTTGCAGTGAGCCGAGATCATGCCACTGCACTCCAGCCTGGGCAACAGAGCAAGACTCCATCTCAATAAATAAATAAAGTAACAAGAAGAGGGAAACACAGGGTCTTGGAGGAACCGAGAGACCTAAGACAGCAGGTGGAATAGCAAAGTAGAGGAAGTGGGTTGGAAGCAGCCAATGAATCTGAGGTTGGAAAAGTGAGTCTGAAACTCCATTTTTCCTTCTTTTTACTGTAATATTTCCGTTACCCCAGACTTTCAGTAAAAACTGGCTACAAGAACAAAAGCTATAGAAATCAAAACCCCATTTAAGAATGAATCACTTCCAAATAGATCAAAGCAGTAATAGTGATGATATATAACACTGCAGCTGGGACACCAACCAATGATGCCACAGTTTTTCTCCTTTAGTTTACCAGAAGCATTTGCTCCTTAATCATTCTCTTCCCCTGGTTTCCATGACATCATTCTCTTGGTGTCCTCTCTCTGTTTACCCAGCTCCTCTTTTCTTTAGAGGGCCTTTGGACTGCCCTTAATGTTAATATTCCATTAGGGATGCCCCCTCAAAGAGTCTTTCCCTAGGCAATCTCACCCATACTTGCAACTTACTGACTTACAATTAACTCTACTAGAGTTCCAGACTTGAATTTTCTTTTCTTTCTTTCTTTTTTTTTTTTAAGATGGAGTTTTGCTTGCTACCCAGGCTGGAATGCAACAGCCCAATCTTGGCTCACCAAAACCTCTGCCTCTCGGGTTCAAGGGATTCTCCTGCCTCAGCCTCCTGAGTAGCTGGGATTACAGGCACGTGCCATCACACCTGGCTAATTTTGTATTTTAGTAGGGACAGGGTTTCTTCATGTTGGTCAGGCTGGTCTTGAACTCTTGACCTCAGGTGATCCACCCACCTCGGCCTCTCAAAGTGCTGGGATTACAGGTGTGAGCCACCGCTTCTGGCCTCAGACTTGAATTTGAAAATTCAAGCCACCACACCTGGCCTATTTTTGTATTTTTAGTAGAGATGAGGTTTCACCAGGCCAGGCAGGTCTCAAACGCTTGGTCTCAAGCAATCCACCTGCCTTGGCCTCCCAAAGTACTGGGATTACAGGCATGAGCCCCCGCACATGGCCCATTATAAATGATTACTTTTTGGGTAAATGGATTAACCTCTTTGATGGAAAGGCAAAATTAGCAAAATTGATAACAATACATGATCATCTATGTGCTGTCTATAGAACACTCACTTTAGATCCAAAGACACGAAGAGATTTTAGTTTTAATCTGAAGTATCACCCACTGTGCACACCTGCTCCTTCCTCTACACCAGAGTCTTGAATGTGAATATTACAAAAGTTTCCAATCAGACAATTTTGGGACACAACTGGAAGGGGAGGAGAGGTAAAGGACACCACGGGGGTTCCTTTCTACACGTTCCCTTCACGAAGACCTTCAGACTCGAGCAGGAGGCATTACAATGTTCTCCTGGGTGATACCTGCCATGAAATGGAATGACTAGGGCAGAGGCATGGACACTTGGAGCCACAGCCACCCCCTTGTTCTGTCAAAAGTACTCAATTTCCAAATCCTGTATTGACTTCTTTGAAAATATGGTCATTATATGCAAAGCCATGCAGATCACGATACATACAGTCGATACAAATCAAATGCAGATCAGGCAGAGCACCGAAGTCTGCAGGTTTCGTCGGTTTTTAAGGGGGCAGAGTATAGTCAATTTACAGTCTCCCTCATAAGGGAGCCAGAGGAAAGAATGGGGAATCTTCAAGAGAAGCCAAGATCCAGCAGGAATGCAAAGAGCTCCCCTTATTCAGAACCCTCGTGGGTTGGACGAAGAAAGGCTGGGGCAGGCTTTTCCCACCAGCGGTAAGGCCAAGAGGTCCGCCCGCGCGCCCCTGAGCGGAGTCAGGCATGAACTGGCTCGGCGGGGCCTCCCACCCTTGGCAGGAAGCGCGGACAAGGCTGCTTTCAGGGGCTCCGAGGGGAGGGGGCTGCAGGGCCGCACGCCTGAGGCCCACGCTCCCCTTGCCTGGGCCCCCCTAAGGAGCCTTAAGACCCCTTCCCACTTACCTGCGCCCCATATCAGCGGCCATCAGCCTCTTGTGCTGGAGGGTGGACCGAGACTCCGCGCTCTGCGCCGCCATCTCCCGCCTTTCGTGGGCTCTGCAATGTGCACCGCCCACAGCGCAAACACACCGGGGGCCGTCGCTTACCCCACATCCCTCCCCTAGCCGCGGACACAAACCGCGCCTGCGCCTGCGCCCCGCCGCGCGCCCACGCCACCCCACCCCGTCCCCCCGGCCGGTGCGTACGCAGGCGCAGAGCTCTCGCGGCGGCCGCGGGGTCCAATGGGGTGAAGCGGGAGAGCTCGACGGAAAGGGAAGAGGCGAGGAGGGAACAGAGCGGGGCGGGGAAAGAGCGGGGCGGGGAAAGAGCCGGGGCGGGCCGGTGTGCTGCGTGCGGCCTGGGAATCCGATTGGTTTTCGATTCCCGCGGAAATCTTCCCGGTGCCTCCTGCGCCCTCTGCCCCGCCTACGGCGATAAATTCACTGGGACTGGCGCGGCTGGAGTTTTGCTCTATTGAAGTGAACTGTTCGGGTCAGGCTGTGGAGGAGACTGAGAGCGCTACAAGGCGCTGGACGGATGCCCGCGCAGGGAAGGAAGGCTGGCTGGGAGGCGGCGTCAGCTATGGTTTAGCAGCTTCCAGCGGCCGAAACCTGCATCGCAGCCGCGGCACCCAAGTCCAGGAAATCTGGTGCTCAATATTGTGATCTCAGGAAGCAGGACCCGCGGCTGGAGTCAGAACCCTAACGGCCTGAGCGCAGGAGTGAGGCAGAAGCGATTGGAGACGCTTTGCAAGTGGCCCTGGGGCTGCATAATAGATGATTCAAGAGGGAATCTCCTCTCCAGAAAGCTCACGTTTCACTCTTTCTGGCCTTCATATCCACCATCGTCAAAACTGGAAGTCCGTCCACCTAGGGCCACTGACTCCACTGTGTTCAGATAGGATGGGGACTGCTCTCTAGCCCCTCGGCAGGAGAGGCATAGTCACTGCTACCCACTCGGAGCAGGGATCACCAGCGCTTTGACTGACTTTGCTCCTCCCGGAGGCTGGGGACATGGGTGCTCATGCTCAGCCCACCCCTCTGTAGACACAGTTGGCCTCCCATTCTGTGTATGGGAAGTTTTCCACTCCGCACCAGCAGCTGCCCCTAGACAGGGATCGGGAGACATGCAGGCGGCTTGGCTTCCTGTTACCTTGTGTTGAAAACAAAAGGCAGCCGGGCGCGGTGGCTCATGCCTGTAATCCCAGCACTTTGGGAGGCCGAGGCAGGTGGATACAAGGTCAGGTGTTTGAGACCAGCCTGACCAACATGGTGAAACCCCATCTCTACTAAAAATACAAAAATTAGCCAAGCGTGGTGGCGTGCACTTGTAATCCCAGCTACTCTGTTACTCCGAAGGCTGAGGCAAGAGAATCGCTTGAACCCCGGGAGGCAGAGGTTGCAGTGAGCCGAGATGGCACCACTGCACTCTAGCCTGGGCAACAGAGTGAGACTCTGAAGGAAAAAAAAAAAAAAAAAAGGAAAGAAAACACAATAGGCTTTGGGATCAGGAGTTCATTCCAGTTATTTTAATGCTGTTACTAGCAGTGTGCCCTCATGCACATTATCAAATTCCTCTAACTCTTGGAATCCTCACTTTTCAATAACTCACAAAACTGGCAAGCCTAAGGGATCTAACAGCTCTAACAGTACCTGGAACAGAAGCAACAGCTGCCTCTTGGATGTTACTTCTTCCTTCTCCACCTTCTCTGGATCACCTCCCTACCTCATCCTCAATCTAATGCTGGAAATATTGGATATGGGGTAGGTCACCAAATGTTTCCGGAAGACTCAAATTATGCCACCCACATCTCTACTGGGGAGGGCTTACTGTGGCCTGACTCTTCTGAGGGTTCAAGTCCCCATTTATGATGTCCAGGCAGAAACACTGTTTCTGACACATAGTAGGCACTGGAAAATGTTGATCAAATGAAAGAGTAGATCCGGTGTGGAGAGAAGAGAAATCTGGGGAGAGTCGTTTAAGGGGGTGGCCAGTTGTCTTCATAAAAAACACTATCATCATCGGGGTGACCAAAGCAGACATCATAGGCAGGGGGTGGAGTCAGAGGCTCTAATCTGGGGAGTTCCCCTAAACTCTGCAGGTCAGGAGCAGTGGACACAGCCCGTGGTCCCCGAAGCCGGAGGCTGATTGGAGTTCTTCCAGGGCTTCCTTCCTGGGCCATAGACCCCTCTGAGGCCATTCGCCTCTCCAGTCTGGCTCTCCTGGACCCCTCTGGATGGCTAGGTTGTCCCTCCTCAGGTGCTGGAGGTATCACAACAGTGCTGTAGGGGGGTGGTTGGTCCAGCTGTTGGGGGTGGCACTGGGATTCCAGCACCACCACGGCCTCTTCATAGACTGGCACTTCAAAGGCTTCGTTGTCCCTGAGGGAGGAGAAATAAGGTCATTGGCGGCTTTCATGAAAGAAGCCCTTTTTTCCTTTTTTTGTCTGCCTCGGGCAAAAGATCCTCTGTTGGCCCCTGTCTCCTCCTCCCGCTGATACCAGTGACAGAGGAAACCGGAGACTCTATGCCTCAGAGACTACAGGGAGAGGGAGGATGGGCCCAAGGTGTATTCCTCTCATGATGCCCACCCCTTAACTCACCGTGCATTGCCTGAGGGCCCTGGGCTCTCAGTCTGCATTGATTGGAGCTGGAACCGAAGCCCACATTCCAGAAACCGGACCAGGAGGTAGGCAACGAAGAAGAAGCCACCCAATGTGAGAAAGAAATAAGCAATGGGGCTGATGTCCGGCTGTACGCCCAGCAAAGCCAGCCCCAGTAGGAAGGAGGCGCAGCACAGGAGGAGAAGTGGCTTCTCCAGTCTCCCCAGTAAGTGAATTGGCACCATGGCCCCTCCCCAGGCTCCTGCAAAAAGACACACAGCTATTGTGTCTACACTAGCAATTGGTGTCGTGGCTGTGTCAGATACCAAAGTAGCCATATGATATTTCTTTGTTTGGTTTCTAGGTTCTTCAGTCTCAAATCAAATAAATAATCTGCAGAGTCCCCTCCAGCTCCAGCTCCGCAAGTCTCTCTAGGTCTTGATGTGTGGGGAATAGCCAGGAAGCCAGCCCAGGAGCCTTGATTTCCAGCCATTCTGTAAGTTGACTCTGTCATGGCTCTGCCTTCTTTCCTTTCTCTTTCCCTGCAGTCTCCCTTCCAGCTCTGTCCCTCTCCACCATCCAGGATCCGGTCCTGCGCACACCCTGTCTGGGGCTTCAGTGCACACTGGCATCTCTGGAATTCAGGTGATGGGCCAGGCCCTGCCCTTCCTCTGTGATTGCTCCTACTGGATCTCTACTCCCCACCTCCCAGCCCTCAATCTAGCCCTGTTAAGAGAGAGAAGAGGGGAGGGAGCCCCACTTACCCTGTCTGACTCCCTTTTTTCCTTTCCTCCGGTGTCAGCCCATGCTCCTGGTGGAGGCAGAAAGTGCACCCAGGCACACCAAAGACACAGGGACACAACTGCTTGAGAAAGAATCATACAGGCAAAGGCCCAGCACAGTGGCCAGAGGCCCTGATCACGTCTGTCCTCTTCTAGACCCCACATGTGCCAGGGCCTTCCTCTACCCTCTGCTGATCCTAACTCGATAAACTCAGTTTGCAAGTTTCCTGCTAGGAGTTAGTCCAGCAGCTGGGAGGCAGAGGGCAGGGGAACCCTGTTCTTTCCTCTGAAACAGCAACAACCCGAGGCAGCCCATACCCCAAAAGCTGGCTGCCAGAAGTTGCCAGAGCTCTGTATAGCAAGGAATTGCAGATTCCCTCCTCATACCTCGGTCCCAATTCCATGACCCTCCCGACCCTCACACCCACACCTGTCTCAGGAGTTCCTGGCTCACCTGTCTCCACAGACTGCAGAAAGTAGTTGGCAGGGGGAGTGGTGGGAGTACGTAGGAGGAGCCCACTGGCCCCACCCTCTTTTTCTGCCCAATCCCTTGTTTTAGCCCAGTCAGTCTCCACCCCTTTTTTCCCTAAGGCTGACCTGCAACCCGCTGCACCTTGATTTGTTCTGGTTTTTACTCTCTCCACCCACCCATACTGTGTCCTAAAGAGAGTGCACCTCTTACTCCCAGTGATCTTTGTACTTAGGACCAGAGTTAGCATTAACCTTTCCCTCTCAGCCCATATTGTATGTTAATTACAGCTCTAGGCAGTTTGCCTTCTGTTTGGGTAATTTACCTTGTAGCTCTCTCCCAGGTGACTGGGAGCAGATCATGGCTTATTTAATCTCTGTAGATCATCACACGGTGCATTGCACACAGGAAGCAACGGTGTGGGCATGAAATAGTGTATCCTGCTATCTTGGGCATGGAATAGCCCAGCTGCTATTTTTTGGGGACTCACCGTTTTCTGCAGACCTGTCAGAAGTGTTTGTGTGTATACCTCTTGACCCAGTTAACTCTTGAGTCTTCAAAGTCCACCTCCGAGGTGATGCCTGCTTTGGAGCCTGCCTCCAGTGTATCCACAGCATTCCTTCCTAAATTTGTCCCATCATTTACCTGGCTATCTAGCATTTTTTGCTTAACCGATTTTCCTTCCACTGTGAGTTTCTCAAGGTGCATGATTAGTTTTAATCATCTCTGAATCCCAGAAAGTAACATGGTTCCTGACACATGGTAGGTGCTCATTAACTAGAAGGCTCCCCTCTCACCAGGCCTCACACCTGTGAAGATCCAAAAGCCATTCTTTTTAGTTGTGAGTCAGGCAGTTAAGTCTGAGGGGGGAAGGTGCTTGGAGGTGGAGAGTGGGTAGAAGCATACGTTGTCCTTGAGCCAGAGGGTGGACAAGACTGGGTTCCGTTCCTTTAGAGTGTGACCAACAGACAGACCGAGGGGAGCTGCAGATGATGGAGCACAAATCCAATCCAGGCTCCCCAGGGACAGCTGGGATGGAGGAGCATAGCAGAGGGTGTGTGTGTGTGTGAGAGAGTGAGAGAAGGAGGGAGAGAGAGAGAGAGAGAGAGAGAGAGAGAGAGAGAGAGAGAGAGAGAATGAGGATAACTGTGTCTGTAGTGGTGGTATATACATGTGGTCACTGGTGGGATATTGAAGAATCTCGGTCCCAGAGCCCCAGATCAATAGTGGAGAGAGGAAGGAGACACAACAGGAAGGCTGTGGGTGTCTAAATGAGGCATGTCTCCATGCAAAGTAGGCCCGGGAGTGAAAGGATTGTCGTTTTATATCAGCCAGTTTCCTCACTGTTCTGCTCAGAAGGGGAAAGTACAGCTGGAATCAGGACTGCAGTTTACAGTTAACATATGAATAGAAGGAAATTGGCCAAGGGTCATTGGTGTGTGTGATAGGAAAGGGGGCTTTGTTAAGGAGTGAGTTGTGGGAATGGGAAGGTGTAGGGCAAGTGGCAAGGGGCCAAAGAGGATGGGCCTGAAGTGTAAAGGGAGAGTCTGGGAGAGGCAGGACCTTTGTAGCTTAAGGCTCTTGGTTGCCTGAAGGAGGGTGCAATAGATAAGAACTGGATCCCAACTGGAGAGGCTAGACTGCTGGCTGGCTGTGCCCATTCACACATTCTCAATTCCAGTAATGTAAAATCAATTTTTTAAAATTGCATTTGTTAAAAAATAAAACATGACAATATTTAAAAGCTAAAAAAAAAAAAGTTACCTACCATCTTATTATCCTAACATGGTCATTTAAATGTTCATATATTTCTTCCAGGCTGTCCACATGTAAACCAGAATATACTCACCAATTTGTATCTTTTAAAAGTTTTATACTTTATATAGTATATATTTCACCTTGATAAAGACTTTATTGTAGTAATTTCAAATAGCCATGTAATATATTGTTGAATCCATGTGCCATAAATTGATTAATATATCCTCACGATACATTGCTCAGTAACACTGAGCCTATTTCACTCAATATTTTTGGCCATTAAAAATAATGCAGGGTGGGCGTGGTCATGCCTGTAATCCCAACACTTTGGGAGGCCGAGGTGGGCAGATTGCTTGAGCACAGGAGTTTGAGATGAGCCTGGGCAACATGGCAAAACCATGTCTCTCCAAAAATAATACAAAAATTAGCCGGGTGTAGTGCCGTGCACCTATAGTTCCAGCTACTCAGGAGGTTGAAGTGGGAGTATTGCTTGAGCCCTGGAAGTTGAGGCTGCAGTGAGTTGTGATCGTGCCAAAAAAAAAAAAAAAAAAAAAAAAAAAAAAAAAAAAAACCAAAATTAGCTGGGGTAGTAGTGCACGCCTGTAGTTCTAACTACTCAGGAGGCTGAGGTGGGAGGATTGCTTGAACCATGGAGGTTGTGGCTTCAGTGAGCCATGATTGTGCACTGCATTCCAGCTTGGGCAGCAGAGTGAGACCCTGTCTCAAAAATTAATTTAATAATAACAATGCAAAAGACAGAAAGTTGATTAGAAGTTGCCAGGGGTGGGGAGGCAGAGGGAGAAATAGAGAGTAACTGCAAATTCGTTTCATATTGGGGTGGTGAAAATGTTCTAAAATTACATAATGGCGATATTTGCACAACTCTGTGAATAGTTCTTTAAAAACCTCACTGCATTGTGTACTTTAAAAGAATGAATTGACCAGGCACGGTGGCTCACGCCTGTAATCCCAGTACTTTGGGAGGCCTAGGCGGGTGGATCATGAGATTAAGAGATAGACACTATCCTGGTGAACATGGTGAAACCTCATCTCTCCTAAAAATGCAAAAATTAGCTGGGCATTGTGGGACCTACCTGTAGTCCCAGCTACTCCGGAGGCTGAGGCAGGAGAATTGCTTGAACCCAGGAGGCAGAGGTTGCAGCGCTGCACTCTAGCCTGGCAACAGAGAGAGACTCCGTCTCAAAAGAAAAAAAATAGGATGAATTATACCTTTGTCAATCAAGGAAAATGACTGAGGCAAGTCTCAGTCATTTTAGGAGATTTATTTGCCAAAGTTAAGGAAGTGCACCCAGGAGACAAATCTATGCCTTTCTTTTAAGGTGATTTTGGTGACTTCAATATTTAAAGGGGTAATGGCAGGACATTGAGAAATACACAATTTTCATGGGCTGAGGGTAGGGGAAAATAGTCATTCATGCCTTTGTGCATAAGATAATGTAGACAATAGGACAGAGGAAACAATCAGATTTGCATTTGTCTCAGTGGGCAGAGGGATGACTTTCAGTTCTGTCCTGTGTGTCCCCTGCCCCCCCCCATCCCGGCCTACGAATATAAACTATTTACATTGCCATGGTGAACTTTAGCTGAACTTCTTTAGGGTAAAGATCTTGGGAACCACATTTCCTTGTGGGCAAAATGGGAGGGAGGTGTGTAGCTTTTCATCTTTGCAGCCATCTTACTTAGAAAGCAAAACAGGCCTGGGCGTGGTGGCTCACACCTGTAATCCCAACACTTTGGGAGGCCAAGGTGGGCGGATCATGAGGTCAGGAGTTTGAGACCAGCCTGGCCAACATGGTTAAACTCCATCTTTACTAAAAATATAAAAATTAGCTGGTGTGGTGGTGTGTGCCTATAATCCCACCTACTTGGGAGACTGAGGCAGGAGAATTGCTTGAGCCCAGGAGACAGAGGTTGCAGTGAGCCGAGATTGTACCACTGCACTCCAGCCTGGGCAACAGAGCAAGACTCCATCTCAAAAAACAAACAAACAAACAAACAAAAAAAAAACCAAAGCAAAACAAAGAAACTAAATGAGAGGCAGGTTTGCACAACCCAGTTCCCACCTTGACTTTCCCTTTGGCTTAGTAAGTTAGGGGTCCCAAGATTTATTTTCCTTTCACACCTTAATAAAACTGTTTAAGAAATAATGCAATGAACATCTTATGTATAGTTTTCCTTTTGTTTTGGATTATTTTCTCAGGATAAATTTTAAGAAATGTCATTATCTAGAGACAAGCAATAGGAAAATTTTTATTGTCCTGAACGCATATAGCCAAATTGCTTCCCAAAGGTTTTGCTTTCCTTTGTTTCTTCATCAAGTAATATCCTTAGCAAAACAGGAATGCACCGCTTAATTCAATTGTCATTCTGCTTTTTACTTGCCTGCCTTTGGCAAACCTTGCTGGAGTTGGAATTACTTCTCCCTGCCCACTGTTCCCAGCTTGTTTGGGCAGATGACAGTGAAGGGAAGTGGGAGGGCAAGGAGAACAAGGGAGAAGTCAAGCTTATTACCTCCCACTGTGTGCTTGTCACTGTGGCTTTGTATTTCTGTGATTTTGTGTTTCAGAATCTGAGAGTACTTTATAGTTGTAATCAACATGTATAGGATGTTTTGTGCATACTCCTCACTGTGTTAAATACTTCACACAAATTCGGTAATTTAAAATATGTATGCTATACTAAGAGGTGGTTACTGTGATTATGTCCACTTCATACATGAGGTCAGAAACTTGAGGAATGTGGGTAGCTAATCAAGGGTGGAGTCAGGATTTGAAACCATGATCTGAACCCATAATCCTGGCTCTTAAGCACTATACCATACCTCTCTGAACACTCTCTTGGGCTGCTCTCAAATGATAATTTAACAAAACACTAGAGGCATTCTGAATCATTTTTCTGATCTTCGCTGGAGGGGTGGTTAGATGCTATTTTTCCTCACCATTTGGCATCTTAAGAAAAGGCTAATCTTCAGACAGCAAGGGCAGTCAAGGAGACTATCAGAAGGTAAATTAAGGTCATTGACATTTAAGGCAGGATAGGGAAATGAAGATTGTGAGCTCTGTATCAGGAGGCTTACCTTTTATCATTTGATGAAGGCAACTATAAAATAGATCCCTTTAAACTGAATAAGCATAGAACCCACTGCTGGTGACTTCTAAAAAGATATCAGTGGCAATAGTTACATACTTTTGTGTAGAATCAATTGACTGGACCCACATACACGTTCTCATTTGATCCTTATTAACAATCATGTGGGCTGTCTGATTATCATTTTCATTTTGCAGAGGAGGAAACAAGCTCAGAGAAAGTACATGATTTTTTTAGTTAGAATGAAACTCAGAACCTTGACCTATTAATTCAGCTGGGTATGTTTTCCCATTCGTTAATTGCCTTAGTCACAGTTTCTTCAAAATGTGTAAGGAAGGTGGAAGGTGGATAAATGGTTTATCATGACATGGGTGAGCAACACTGATATTTTCTAGACGGAAATGCTTCCAACAAATAATAAATCCTCCAGTATGTAAGGATAAATACACGCTTTCACCCCCATCAGCTAGTTTTAATATTGTACAAAGTTCACTAAGCAAGAACTGAGTGAACAGTGGGGTTGAGGCAGTCAGTCAAACTCAGATATTCAGCACTAAGCCACAAAAGGCTTCTGGAATTTGAGAAACTGAGTGTGGTTGTTGCTGAGTAACAACAACAAAAAGAGCATTGTGTTTGTTAGAAATGTCTACCGATAGTGACAGCAGAGTTCCACATGAATATGCCTGTAAATATGAGCAAACAGGAGGCAATGCAGCTAAGCACATGTGCTTTGGCCAACCCTGGTTTCAAATCTCAGTTCTACCACTTACTAGCGGTGTGACCCTGGGCAAGTTACTTAACCTTTCTGAGCTTTGGTTTCTAATCTGTAAATTGATGAAACTATATCCAAGTATATCACCCTTTCCCACCTGGCTCCTCCAGCTTGGGGAACTACAGCCACAGTGAGTCTGGGTCTGACTAATGGGCACAACTGTGTGTGGGACCAGCAAGGGGCACCACCCTGTCACTGGGACCTGATTTCACCACAGAGCATTTGTTTGTAACTACATTGTATGTAACCCTGTGCTAAGTTCTAAGGGCATCTACCCAGGAGAGGTAACATATTTAATCATGATCTCCAGGATTTTCCGATATAGATAGAGAGATAAGACATGCATATGAAATAATTAAACAGTGATTAAAGACAGTATCTGACAGCCTGGGAACATAGTGAGACCCCGTCTTTACACACACACAAAATTAAAAATTAGTCAGGT